AAAATTACCAACTTTTACATGGAAGCCACTTCTTGCAGCCTGTAGTGGTTTCTCCCCACCGACTGCTCTTGGTCAAAGTAAGTTGAGAGAATCTAGAGAATTTGTGTGGGTGGTTGGTGGGTGCTCTGGTGTTGTTTGCTTCTTCTTTCTTATCAAACGTCGATCATCTTTATCTCCCCTTCTTCTTTTTTATGTTTGTTATTCTCTCGTAACACCTCTAATCTTCTGGCGCTCATATGACCTTATGCAGTTGCGACCGCGTAAAACCTCTACTAAAACTAAACTAAGAGATTTGGTTTTTTTTGTGGTGCTGTCGACTCATAGTTCTTGTCCCATCTGAAGCTTTTATTTCTGGTCACAGTACTCATAGTTCTATGGTTCGTACAGTTTCTCATGCTAACAGTTTCGTGTAATTTTCTTTGTAAAAAAAATTCTGTTTGCAAAGCACTGCTATTTTTGTGTGCTGCCTTACATTTTGACTGACATTAAGGTTTTAATGTCTTTTATTCTGAACAGTCAACATGACAGTTTATCCCTTTGGAATATCGCAAAATTCCTGACCTATAAATACAAGTTTACAGTAACGACAGCTTTAGCTGTTTTAAATTTTTTTTTCTTGGGGGGGGGGGGGGGGGGGGGGGGGGGTTGAGTTTGAAAAAAACAACAACAGTGCAGCGTGAAGAAAATCAACATCGCTATTGATTGCAGTGATATCGGTAATGTATACCATTGTCTGTACTCAGGCAAGGTCGGCTTTTTGAGGGGTTTTTTGTTTTGTTTTTGTTTTTGTTTTTAACAATAAGCTTACGAAATCGGTAATGGCTTCAATTTTTGTAGGGCAAAGCGTGTTCCTGAAGATTTTCAGCATTTCAAAGCCATGTGCAAATTTCCCAGTGCATTGAGTAAAAGAGATAAAAAGATAATATGACGTTTCAAACATGGGCATGAGAAAGTGAACGGACCATTTTAGTGTTAATTGTAGGCTACTTGCTATACAAGATACATCTGTTGTCGCAGCAATACAGGCGTAACCTCTCCATAATTATGTCCTGTGGTGTGCTCTTCATGTTTCATGTTACTGGTGGCACACTATTCAAAACTGCCCGGTTCCTATTTGATACGATCTAGTTTGCAACCTGAGCATGATGCAAAGGCTGGATTACTTCCCCTTTTTTGTTCCCTTTGCAAGGTTCTGGACCCATTAGTCTCCCGTGCACACATTGTGAATATATTATATGGACATGCCATGCTCTTAGATTTCTTTTCCTTTTGTCTTTGTGTTTGTGTTTGCTTGAACCCTATCTTCCCTAAGTAAGGTAATTTACTCTTGTGGGAAACATACGCATGTATTGTTGTCCAAGTTAAAAGGTAGGCTTAGATGTTTGAGAAGTTTGCTCGACCAATCATTTGTATGATTAGGGCTAGGTTTCAATGTTTGTAGGAATGTGCATGCTAGAAGGTGTTACTTTCCCTAGTTATGGTACAAAAGTTTGGAGAAAAAAATATGTGGAAAGCTATGATACGAAAGCTACCATATGAGCATGCATGGACTCAGATGCCATATTTGTGCTTCCCCGCCAATGTGTAGACAGTTTTTTGATAAATCAAAATCCTTACTTAAACATTGATTAACCGTCTTTTATTTGTTTACTTACTTTTTCATTTGTAATATAAGACTGCTGGTATTTTTTTTTTTAGACATGTGGGTTTTTATATGTTTGAGAAGGGGGAGGGGGGGAGGGGAGAAGAATGTAGATGTATAATTCGACTGCTTAGTGTAAGGCTACGCTATACGCCATTTTTGAAAAGTGACATATTACAGTCTTAAATTGAGTAGTCGATGTGTGTGGAAACCAGTGTCTGTTTTGGACTATTATTTTTTCTCGTTATGTCTATGACAAACTCGACAATAATTATAATTTTCCTCTTTGCACCAAGCACGTTGCTTTTTCCGTCATTGAATCTGTTGCGTCAGCGTGTTACAGACTGGTAACCTAAGTTATGTCATTCGTGAACAGAGCAAGAATAGATCAGAATGGAATGAATAGTCCATATAACCTGTGTGCTATGTGATGCCCGTGGATGTGCTTATGTCCACTCAATCTGGACTGCGGCTAAACTAAAATTACCAACTTTTACATGGAAGCCACTTCTTGCAGCCTGTAGTGGTTTCTCCCCACCGACTGCTCTTGGTCAAAGTAAGTTGAGAGAATCTAGAGAATTTGTGTGGGTGGTTGGTGGGTGCTCTGGTGTTGTTTGCTTCTTCTTTCTTATCAAACGTCGATCATCTTTATCTCCCCTTCTTCTTTTTTATGTTTGTTATTCTCTCGTAACACCTCTAATCTTCTGGCGCTCATATGACCTTATGCAGTTGCGACCGCGTAAAACCTCTACTAAAACTAAACTAAGAGATTTGGTTTTTTTGTGGTGCTGTCGACTCATAGTTCTTGTCCCATCTGAAGCTTTTATTTCTGGTCACAGTACTCATAGTTCTATGGTTCGTACAGTTTCTCATGCTAACAGTTTCGTGTAATTTTCTTTGTAAAAAAAATTCTGTTTGCAAAGCACTGCTATTTTTGTGTGCTGCCTTACATTTTGACTGACATTAAGGTTTTAATGTCTTTTATTCTGAACAGTCAACATGACAGTTTAT